AAACTCCAGAATCAGGCCTGAAGAAATTTTCGAAATGTCCGTCATTTCTTATCATTACTTTTGTCAGATTTAGTTTTTTTTCTGTAACCCTTTTATCTTTCATTAAATCAATGAATTTATAAGCTGCTCATCCCAGCAAGACTGAACCCAAATTCATTTCCATTAATAATATCAAACCACTGCTGCCTCCTAAACTCATCCACCAGGGAGTTTTTTTAAAGCGGGGAACCTTGGAGAGGAATGAGCCTGAATGAAGGGGAAAGATGATAAATCTGCAGGAGCAGCACATCCTTGGAGATGAAGGGAATCTCTGTCGGAGGTCTGAGGCCGATCGAGGAGCTGCTCACAAGCAGCGTCATGGATGCAGGGAAGGTCGAGGCTGCAGGAAGCGGTCCAGGAGGAGCCTCTCCTGAATGGTTCACCTCCCTGAGGTGCAGCAGAGCCAATGATACAGGATGATCCATATGAAGCGAGTCGTCATGGTTACTAAAACAGAGGCTCTGAAGGATCCACCCAGGTTAATGGGTTAGTGGCAGACTGTGTTAAATCTCAGTGAGGATGCAAACCACTCATGCAGGTTGGTCTGAAGGTTCATGAGCTTCATCAGCAGCGGTGGATCCAAGAGTCACAAGGAACTGGTGGAGGAGGAGCTTCCTCACCCTGCAGCCAGAATTACCCTGAGCCTCCTGTAGGGGGCATGAGTGTTTTTATTGGACTTGGGCTACGGTCACACTGCAGGCCTTGATGCTCAATTCCGATTTTTTTGTGAAATCCATATTTCCAAATATATGCAACTTGTATGTGATCTCCTGTGTGAACTGCAGTAATACAACGCAAGTGTCCCGCATGCGCAGTAGAGGACGAAATGATGTCACAGGTCAGTGGGCTCTATGTTCATGGAAGTAAACATGGGAGGTAGTGCCGGCGCGCATCTAGTGGTCTTTTCCAACCATAAAAACTAAATCTTTTCAAAATGGTTAAACATAAATACTAGGGATGCACGATATAATTGGCCCCCTATCGCTTTCGGCCTTAAAACTGAATATCGGACATCGGCCACCCCACCGATATTTAACCCGATATTTGATCAGCTTCTGAGTTTCTAAAGTCTAAAAAAAATAATAATAAATACTACTTCTTCTTCTTCCTCAAAAACTTCTTTTTTACAGACTTAAAAACTTCTAAAGACGAGGGAAAAAATATTGATACATTAAAATATCCCAATATCTTCATATGCTGATATAT